CTATAAATAGTTCCAGGTCTGTTTGTTGACCTTTAAGAGTATTTTCTGGTTGGGTCTGGTGGGGTACCATGCCCTGACCCCAAAGTCTATTTTTTATATTCCCTGGGGACTTCATTACTTGGCTCCCCTTGCTGCTCTGCGGCATGTCCTTTGTATTTTGCCCCAGTGTGGTGGGGTCAGATCAGGTACAATTCCCACCTTATCTCCAGTGGTGTCCCACATAATGCTGTGGGTCAGTGAGGGAGATCATATCTCCTGGTATGGCCTGCCCTCTGGTCCTCTCTGTGCATTGGCTGCTCTGAGTAGTAATATTGTCTTTGGGGCTTGGTGGTCCAGGATGCGTTCTACTCTATCTCCTTCCCTCTTCATTTGCTCCTGTGTTATGATCTGACACACCCCTCTCCGAGCTGTAGCTTCAGTGCTGTCCTCTGAAGTGCATTCTTTGGGGGTGGAGGGGTTTCCACAAAGCTGGGATTGGAGCCGGCCCAGCAGACCTATTGGTTCCCTGCTTCATGCCGGTATGTTGCATTCATGACTTGGTGCACTGGGTTAAAGTCTGGTCCCTCTCTCCCTCACCTGTGATGTGAACAATACTCATCTCTTGGGTGGGTTAGTGTTGTTTCCCTGCTACCCATGTCTTTTTTTTTCCCCCCTCCTTTTTAGTTGGATGCCATATGTATCCCTGGATTGGGGTTGGCCCCTGCCATAGTACCTGGACCTCACCCCAGGAATGTATATATAGTTTTTCTCCTATGCCTCTTTTGCATTTTTAAGCTTACCTCAGTGTACTCATGTTGTACTTATCCTTTTGTGCTTAGCTTAGCATAAATTCTTCCAATTTTTCCCATGCGGGGATGTGTTTCATGCATCCATCACTACTTTTTAGGGATGTGAAGTACTCCATTGTATGTACCATAGTTTTTTAATCCATTTGCCCTTTGATGGGAATTTGGGTTGTTTCTGCTTTGTGATTGTGAACTGCACCACTATGAACATTGGAGCAGATGTCTGGCTCTGTTTTAGATATCCCCAAATCAATTTCCATAGTGGCTGTACATATCTTCATCAAATCAATTTCCATAGTGGCTGTGCATATCTTCAGATCCACCAGCAGTGGACGAGACTTCCTATCTCACCACAATCCCTCCAACATTTGTTGCTTTCTGATTTTTTGAATTGAGTTATCTTTAAGGGTGTTAGGTGGTATCTCATAGTTTGAATTTGCATTTCTCTTATGGCTAATGATCAGGAACATTTTCTCATATGTTTATTGGCCATTTGGATTTCCGCCCTTGTGAAGCTTCTGTTCAGGTCCTTTGCCCATCTCCTCAGTGGGCAATTAGCTTTTTCTTTTTGGAAGCTAGCAGATTATTGCAGATTTTAGTAATAAGGCCTTTGTCTGATGTGTCATTGCCAACGGTGGTTGCTTCTTCGAAGTGCTAAATTCCTCTTGAAAAGATTTTGGGGTGGGGGTGGGGTGGGGAGAGCAGGTTAGGGTGGGAACATTTCATAGTAGTGTGTACTTCCTATTGCCATGTACCAGGAAGGACCGAGTCTACTTGTCTCACTCTTGGAGGTGTTCAGTGAGCTATCCCTTTGTCTCCAGGAACATCTAATCAAAGGGTTGTACTTCTTAGTGTTGACCGCTGCCTGCGGTAGATATTGTCTCAGGGGTTCCCTAATCTATGATAAGTTCCAGTTACTATTAATCATTTAATTTTATTTTTGTACATCTTATAGGTACAGCATACGTTGCTGTGGCATGTGATTTGCTGATGTTATCATTCTCATGCCAACCCTCAAAGACTAAGACTGAATATTGATAATAAAAAGTAATATAAAGGGCTTGAAAAAGTTCCTCAGGAAATTGCATTCTTTTAATTCTATCTTTCCATAAAGGTTTTGAAGCTCTCATATTAATGGAGGTGGTGGTGGTATTTGACTTAGTCATTGGAATGAAAGCCTGTTGAGAGATTACTTATATATAGAAATTCATACAAAAAAGGCAAGACAAATTCTTAATATTTTCCTTTAAGTCATACATTTTCAGAGTATTGAAGTATTGAGCTTTAGTGGTATGAGTTGTCATTGTTTCTAGACATTTTCCATGGACACAGCTAGGAAATATCTAACAAAATAGATTTAAAGGGAACATAACCGATCAGCAATGGGAGCAAAGCAAAGCTACAAAGCCTCTGAGGAGCCCTAGAATAGACTCCAGGTTAGGAGGACCAGTGGGGGAGACAGTCAAAAAGGTCAGTGGACAGACCTGGAATTATATATGCTTTTTCAGGTTATCTTTGCTAATTATTATTTTTCTTTATATATATATTTCTATTTTCTTTCCCCCTTTTAATTCAATTTTTTTGTTTTACATATTATATACATTATTGTTAGTTCGCCTACCTATATAAGATAGGCATGGGAAGCAAGCCCAAAGAGAAGGCAATGGGAGCAAAGGTTCCAGAGGGTCTTAGGGGGAGGAGGAAGGGGCATGGGAGTGGTGATCAAACAACGCCATAGACAAGGCATCAACCAGGGAATTAAAATCAACAATGAGGAGGATGCAGTTATCCTGGTGGTGTTGGAACAACAGCAATCTAGCTGAGAATTACTAAGAGGCAGAAGAAGGGCGAGTGTGATGATGGGAAAGGAGGAAAGTAAAAGGAAACAGAGGAAAGATCTAGACAGCAAAGCTATGCATAGAGGTATAAACATAGGTGTACACTTATGTATATTAATTCAAAAACTAGAGGTATTGGCATAGGTACATATATTTATACAGCAATACATTGAGGGAGTAGACGGACTTTGGGACTCTGCCCAAACCTTCTCTCAGTGCAAGAACATTTTGATCTAACAACCTGGCATTCTGTGATGCTCACCCTCCCAGAACAATCGCTGAAGACAAAATGGGTGCACATGCAAATGTGGTGAAGAAAGCTGATGGTGCCTAACTATTAAAAGATATAGCACCTGGAATCTTAAAGGCTGGAAGTTAAGCAAGTGTCCATCTAGCAGAGAAGCAACAAGCGCACATGGAGGAAGCATGCCAGCCTGTGCCATCATGAGGTGTTGACGGGATCAGGTAACAGGCATCAGAAGACCCAAAACAACCAAACAAAAAAACCATATTGTTGAGAATGAGGGGGGTCAGAGCACAATCTATCTGTAGACAATGGGACATCCCCTCACAGAAGGGTTGCAAGGAAGGGATGAGTCAACCAGGGTGATGTATATCCCTGATGAAACACACAATATTTTCCTCTGGTTCCTTGAGGCTTCCTCAAACCCTACTATCATGACCCCAATTCTGCCTCTCACTTCGGGCTAGGCTGGAGTATTTACACAGGTACAGATAAGAGCTCAAGACACAAAGAATCCAGGTCATATAAACACCTTGGCAACAGAAATGGGAGTAGCAATACCAGGATGGTAGGGGGAAGGTAAGGAGAGAAGGGGGGAAGAAACCTCGGGGGAAGGGAGCAAGAGTCGGTGTAAGATATTAAAATAATAATAATTTATAATTTATCAAAGAGTCACAAGACAAGGAGGAAGGGTAAAAATAGGACCTAATACCAAGGGCTTGATTAGAATGTAAATGTTTAGAAATTATGGCAACACATGTACAAATATACTTGATACAACTATAGTATGAATTGTTATAAAAGCTGGAAGAGCCCCCAATAAAATGATTTTTTTTAAATCGAAGATGACAGATTTGGCTTTAAAAAAATTCTTCCCCCAAATCTTGAGTTTTGAAATTAACCCTATATTTATGCCAGAATTCTTGCTTCTAAAATCTTAATTTCCTAGAGGAAAGAAATAGGAGGCAAAAGACATTTATAGAGGTATAAACATAGGCAAGTATGTATGTGAATATATTAATATATAACAATAGAGATATAGGTCTATGCACATATCTTTATAAGTATTAAGGTAGCAGACGGACATTGGGCCTCTACTCAAGTCCTCTCTCAACACAAGAACACTTTGTTCTAATAACCTAACATTCTGTGAAGCTCACCTTCCTGACCAGATCGCTAAAGACCAAATGGGAGCATAAGGAAATGTGAAGAAAGCTGATGGTGCCCAGCTATTACAAGATATAGTGAGATAGTTAAAGTTTATTGTGCCAACCTGGCCGATAAACACATGTGGGGTTTATTGAAGGGGAGAGAGATAAATGGCTCAGTGAGCCTCGCCTTTCTAGTTCTCGAGTCTCTTGCTTTGTGATGGTCAGACCAGGATGCAGCCACCTTAGCCAGTTCTCTGCTTCAGCTGGCAAGGCTCACTTCCTGCAAGACATCCCTGAGAAGCTGCATGGACCTACCCTGATGCAACCCTGAGTGCTGGAGCAGCTATGTGGAGAGCCCTGCTAGCACTGAGATGCTTACACGTTCACTGATTTGGCTTTCCTCCTGCATTCAG